ACTCGACTCGACTCGACTCTCTTTGGTCTCGACTCAGACTCGACTCTCTTTGGTCTCGGTCTCGACTCGGACTCGACTCTCTTTGGTCTCGGTCTCGACTCGGACTCGACTCGACTCTCTTTGGTCTCGGCCTCGACTCGGACTCGACTCGGACTCGACAGTCTTTGGTCTCGACTCGGACTCGACAGTCTTTGGTCTCGGTCTCGACTCGGACTCGACTCTCTTTGGTCTCGGTCTCGATTCGGACTCGACTCTCTTTGGTCTCGGTCTCGACTCGGACTCGACTCTCTTTGGTCTCGGTCTCGACTCGGACTCGATCCTCTTCGGTCTCGACTCGGACTCGACTCTCTTTGGTCTCGTCCTCGACTGGGACTCGACTCTCTTTGTCTCGGTCTCGACTCGGACTCCACTCCCTTTGGTGTCGGCCTCAACTGGGACTCGACTCTCTTTGGTCTCGGTCTCGACTCGGACTTGACTCTCTCTGGTCTCGGTCTCGACTCGGACTCGACCCTCTATGGTCTCGGTCTCGACTCGGACTCGACTGTCTTTGGTCTCGGTCTCGACTCGGACTCGACTCTCTTTGGCCTTGACTCAGACTCGACTCTCTTTGGTCTCGGTCTTGACTCGGACTCGACTCTATCTCCGGTCTCGACTCGGACTCGACTCTCTTTGGTCTCGGTCTCGACTCAAACTTGAGACTCTTGGGTCTCGATCTCGATCTCGACTCGGACTCGACTCTCTTTGGTCTCGGCCTCGACTCGGATTTGACTCTCTTGGGTCTTGACTCAGACTCGACTCTCTTTGGTCTCAAATCGGACTCAACTCTCTTTGGTCTCGGTCTCAACTCTGACTCGACTCTCTTTGGTCTCGGCCTCAACTCTGACTCGACTCTCTTTTGTCTCGGTCTCAACTCTGACTCAACTCCCTTTGGTCTCGACTCGGACTCGATTCTCTTTGGTCTCGGTCTCGACTCGGACTCGACTCTCTTTGGTCTTGGTCTCAACTCGGACTCGACTCTCTTTTGTCTCGGTCTCAACTATGACTCAACTCCCTTTGGTCTCGACTCGGACTCGATTCTCTTTGGTCTCGGTCTCGACTCGGACTCGACTCTCTTTGGTCTCGGACTCGACTCTCTTTGGTCTCAGCCACGACTCGGACCCGACTCTCTTTGGTCTCGTTCTCGACTCTGACTCGACTCTCTTTGGTCTCGGTCTTGACTCTGACTCAAGTGAGCTGGTCTCGACTACAAAAAAACCCACAACAGTTTTACTCTAGTGTCATGCATAATTTTTTTTATCAATACTTGAATGTGGGCAAGTTTTATAAAAAAGTAACATTTTGAGCATAAAGTTAAAGAAAATCACGATTTTGTCGATGACTACAGCCAGAACATATTCACAAGAACCAAAACAAAGGAGTAACACCAACAAAAACAGAGAACGAAAATTCAGAAAATACAATTATTAAACTAAACCAGGTTTCTGACAAGTTGTGACGTATGGCGCATTTAGACGTTTCTTTTTTCCACATATTTAGCATTATTAATAAACATGTTTAGAGAATTTCATGATAAAAAAAATTGGAAAATTATTTAGAGAAGGCAAGGGAGGACAGAGAACTTTGGAATAACTAACTTTTTTTGTTCATGATGATTATATATGTTTGTTTTTAGTATTTTATTACTTTGAGCAAAATATACAAATCCATACTTACTTTCCTTAAGAGGTAAACCTGCATCCACTGTATGTTTTCTCAGTCTCTATACCATTTACATAAGTGTCTTAATGTAATAAAAATATGTATTATAGTATAATATTAATAACAATAATAGCCTCATTAAACATCTGATCTTACCTTTTTATATTCATATCCATTTGGGAGAAATATTTCCTTTTTTTGGTAAAGAAATCTCAGCCAAGACTGTCTTGGTCCTCGGAGGCCATGATTCTCATCCTTGGAAATGTATAACTGTTCCAAACAAGTATTGCCCGGACATCCCCTGCAGTGTTTCCCCTACAATGTATTCAGCAGCGGCGCAGCGCCGCCGCTGGATTTTCAGCGCCGCCGCAAAATCTTTTCATGATCAGCAATATCATGACATTCACTTCATTCACTTATACACCTAAAAACACAGACATGGCGACCGGCAGCGCTGCTAATGTGGCTCTGAATCCACTTGTTGACAAGAACGGAAGAAAGAACCATATATGGAAATATTTTCGATTAGGCTAATGTCACGTTGCCATAAGGGGCCGTTCGTTAATTTAAATAAGCCATACGCGCTCCACTCAGAATAGAAATGACGCGGTGGCGGCGCGCTCGTTTATCCAATCGCGCCTCTGTTCAAGGTTGCATAGCAACGAGAGACTCCACGGGACAGCGAGCACTTGTGGAAAGGAGAAAGCGGTACGAACTTTTTCCATGAGCCGGACGAGGAAGTATCACCTACTGCTCATAGTCCTGATCTCTCTTCCGGCTTAATAATACCAGTCACAGCGCGAAATAAACATGAATGAGCATCTGAAAGTGTGTTAAAGATAGAGTACAACTTATCCAAATCCGTATCATGTCACATTGATTCGCTCAATCAGCGTTTCAACCGTGGAAAGACGTCAGTTAAACAGCTTGTAATCAATGTCATGTACCGTCATATTTACCTCAGAAAACCCACATCAACTCGTTAGTCAGCTAGAAAAATAACTCTAGAGAGGAGTATTTTGCTAAATATATACACCATATTACATATGCATTATAATCTTAATGTTCTTCAATATTTAATGCATATTTGAATAAATCTGGCAAGTTTTTATGACAGTCACCATTTAAATGTTTATATAATCTTCTTATTATAAAAATAAATAAAAGTGTAATTTAAGTGTTTTGTATAGCTACAAAACAGTTCATTATTACCTTCATATTAGGCTAATGAATCCTAGCAGGCTACTACAACTAGACTCCCATAGTTTACAGCATTAGTTAAGAGATTTGATTTCCTTGAGAAAATTAGCCATTTATTGTAACTGTCTGATATCCAAAATAATTAATATTGAATCGAAACGGAATCGAAATCGAATCGAATTGCAAGCTTATGAATCGAAATCGAATCGAATTGTGAAATTTGTGTCAATACCCAGCCCTACATTCTAATATGATGATATCTGCTCTTTTTTTAAAGTTTCTTTTATTATTAAAAAATAACATCATGTAATAGTATTTCACAATATTAGGCTACTGTTTTTTCTGTATTTTTGATTAAATAAATGCAGGCTAGATGAGCATAAGGCTTCTTGCAAAAACATAAAATAGTATCTGTCACTCACACACATCTGAAAAACCCAGAAAAATTAAGTGCTCACAGATTGGGTGTGGCCTTTGCCATTAAGAAAAAATGTTCAATAAATTGTAAATAATCTTTTTCTGGGTTGTGACGTTTCATTTTTCCCCTATCAATTTCTACATTTTAGTTTGAGTTTTAAAACTTACAGGTTATTTTTTATAGTATAACGACCTCTTAACTGTCAAAATATCATTAAAGCTACATTATGTATTTTTCTCCGCCGCTAGGGGTCGCTAACCTCTTACAATAACAAAGGCGTAGGTTTAGGACGCAGTGAATAAGCGTAATGATGGAACTTGTCATGCAGATGGATCTAATGTGTATGGAAAATGTATTTACATTTTTCAAACTCATGGTTGAAGGGGTTATTTAAAAAAAAATTCTCCCGGAGGTGCAATTCCCCAAACCGCACACCGCCCCGCCCACAGCCCCACCCCGCCCCCGCCCACCGCGGCTTGGTAACAACCTCCGGCACCTAACAGCACCGCTGCTGAAAAAATTTCTAGGGGAAACACTGCCCTGGGAAGGGAATATAGAGACGGTATATCTTGGAACTTTAATTGAATACCCCTGTTCTGGAGGAATACATTTGAAAATAGATTCATTGCAGTCTGTATACCAGAAATGTATGACTTACAGTAATGAATACATTGTATGGAATGTGAAAGAGTCTTTCTTTATCCTTTTCACATCAACATCCCGTCTCCTCAAGATCTCATCTTCTCTTCCACCAGTTTCTTCTCTGAGAGGGAGAAAAAGGTGAAATTAAAAATAAATCATAGGAATTCAATTTAACAGTGAAGCGTAAGACATGAGAGGACCCAAATGAAAACTTAATGACACCGCGTCTTGGTTTGCATTATATATTCATGTGAGGCACCTTAATTTTGACTTTTTGCCAGATTGTTAAAGTTTTATCAGTATTTTAGATGTTAGTGTCATTGACATTGTGGTTACAATTTCTTAATGGTGAGATACAGTACAATCAAGACCACAAGTAAAAATGCTTCTCATTTGCACTTCTTGTTACATACTACTTGTCAAAAGTGCGGAATAATTACGTTTTTTTTTCTTTCAAATCAATGTTGCAAACAGTTTTGCAGCTTAATATTAATTAAGTAATGTTAATTAATATTAATATATTAATAATATAAAAAAATAAAATTAAAAGTTATAAGCTTTTATTCAGCAATAATGCATTAAATTGATCAGAAACGACAGTAAAGTAATTTATGTTACAAAAGATTTCATTGAAGTTTCTATTCCTCAAAGGATCCTGAAAAAAATGATTTGCACAAAAATATTAAGCAGTAAAAACTGATAAGAACCATTATTAATGATTGAGCACCGGTTATGTAATAATAATATTAATTTGTCACCAGATCAGTTATCTTTGTCCATATAGTACATTGTTTAGGTGCTGAATGAAGCAAAATCAGGTGATGAACTCTATATGTTGTACTGTTTGGTGTGAGAGCACAGTGTTTTACTCAAGTTGAACAAAATTGGCAGACACAAGAGTCCATATTGACACACACATGCACGCACAGAAACAACATCCTCTTTGCTGCTACCAGGGATAATGAGGACAGTCCTTTAGGAGTCATTGTAATGTTAAAGCTCTTCCCCTCTCTCTCTCTCTCTCTCTCTCTCTTCCTCTCAGATGAGTTAAAGGAGAAATTACAGGACTTTGTGAAGGAGACCAACGCCAAGCAGCCGGATTTCATTAAAATGGTGCGGCACAGTAAGCAGGAGGGCCTGATCCGCTCGCGTGTGAGTGGCTGGAGAGCTGCCTCTGCCCCTGTGGTGGCCCTGTTTGACGCCCACGTAGAGTTCAACACTGGCTGGTGGGTGATATGAGAACACTGGCTATTCCTAGTGCTTCATGGACAGACTGTATTTCATGCTTCCTTTAATCGAAATGTATAAAGCATCTGCGTTTTTGTCCAAGCACAGGCATTTTTCCTAAAAAAGGTTTGAAAATAATTTCAATAATCTAATTCTTATTTTCATGCTGCTTCAAACCCGAGTTTCTTTCCTCCGTGGAACAAAAAAGTAATTTTGAATGTTCACTTTAATCTTCTCCATAGCGCAAAGGCAGACTGCCCATTTAGACATTATATACATATGAAGACTTAAAGGAGTAGTTCACTTTTAATATTTTGCTGATAATTTATTATTAATTTTACAACTTTCTTAATAAAAAATACACAATATCTGTAATTATCAACTTCATTTTTTTCAAATGAACCGTGATTCATTTTTTTACAGTGGATCAGGTGTGACGGATTACGTTGATATACAGTAAAGTATACCTCGCTGTGTGTACTTGTTTATATGCTTGATGAAGACCTTCAAGTCGAAACATTGCATAGTTCAATAAATTGATTCTTTGGAAGCAGCAGTGGCAGTGTGCCGACTTTTGTTTACTCTCTAAAGAAATGTCACGGGCACATTTTTCTAATGACTTTGCGTTGTAAATGAGTTGAACTTAAGTCCTCTCTAGCTGTAACGTGATGAGGATGCAGAAATCACAGGGAGAGTAGGATCCAAATGCAGTAAAGAATATTTATTAAATGAAATAAACAAAACACAATAAACAGGGAACCGAACTGAAACAGACACCAGACCCTGAACATGAGAAATACAAGCTGTATGCTGCGTTCACGCCATGCCGTAATTACTGTAATTTCGAGATGACTTCATGTGACGTTCTACTCATGAAATTCTATACCGCAACCATCAACGCCTAAATTAATCTGTAGCAGTCAGGTGGTACAAGTAGGATTTCCCAGGAAATTCCAAGCTTACAAGCTCTACCAGAAAGACTCGGGAGAAGAAATACTGTAACAGTAAATACATTTATTGATAGCCCAGCAAGCAATACAGTTCTTTGGTGTAGGCCCCGTCCATAGCTCGCAATCTGAGGGTCCGGACCCCCTGTGAGGTATAGGAAGGGACCATCCTGGTGGTGGTGGGGAGGATGGGGGGGAAGGAAAGCATCAGCATCTGCGAATTCAAACATGTGTAAGTACTGGTCTTTTGCTGCGTTCAAGACCTCTTGGGGAGGACAATGATATCATATTTTGTGCAGAGAGCTTGCTTTATAAATGAAAAAGCCTTACAATGTCAATGAGTAAACATTGAAATTCAATTAAAATTTACCGTCAACAGACGCTGAATGAACGTTTCTCACTGACACGCCCCCAACTCGTACAGATCGGGGCTTAAAGAAAATCCCGAGCTCCCCACTGGTATTTACGACATTGTGGTGGCGTTCAAGTGCGTTCAACTCGTAATTACGATCTATACGAGATGACTTGAGCGCAGCATTTTACACCGCAAGTATTAGACACAATTGGATAGATGAGAAGGTAATAAGTAACGTAGCAATTGAGTCTTCCTGGTTTCCATTTACATACTCTACGAGGACGTGAGAGCTTTTTACAGGTTGAAATCTCGTAATTAGGGCACTTGACCTATGGCTAAGCCACGCCCTAAAAAAGGCGATGAGCCAATCACGGTGTACATTCTCTGCTTCCACGTCCATTGAAATGCTTACCAGTTAGTCAGTTTTCATTCGTTTTTCTTGTCATTTTAATTTTTAAATGGTCAAACGGTGTGCATGGGGTACATGCAACTCCGACACTAGGTTCCCGAGAGGCTGGGCAGCGGTGTGTATTTTCAGCCCGTTCTCATCCTTTAGTGTCATATATAGGTGACGCTATATGACAAAACGGCGAAATACTATGCACATGGCACCCTTTATCGTTAATATATCACGCGAACCCAAGCCGTTATAAATCCTTTAGCGTTAATATGAGACTACCCTACCCTACCCCACACCTAAACCTACCCATCACAGAGTTTGTTATATTAACGATAACGGGTGCCATGTGCATAGTATTTCGCCGTTTTGTCGTATAGCATCACATATGACGCTAAAGGATGAGAATGCGTTGGTATTTCTTTTACCCTTTCCCAAGCCACATCTCAACCGAGAAAAGTGTCTGCTCTGGATTAAAGGTTCTCAAAGCGATCCTGGGTATTTTCAAACAAATCGGAGCTAGACCCTCCCTCCTCCGCATCTCATCTCCTCCCCCTCCCTTCCGTGCTTCCTGAAATAATTGTGAACGTGCATAGTTCTAGCTAATTATATCCTTGTGTGGGTTTGGCGAACATAAGCGTCAATTTAGAAGAAAAAAAACAATTTAACGTTACCCACCTGTCCAGCAAAAACAGAGCAACCTGAATGTCGGACTGGAAGCCCTTCTGCCGCCGGAGTTCTCGCCATCGTTCAAAAGCTTTGCTACCGATGTAAATTCGGAACTTCGCACGTTCTTTATCCGACTCCTTCTTCTTTTTAATTTGTTCCTCAGAACGACGTCTCTTTGGTCGTGTGTCGGTAATTTTTCAAACTTCCCTCTGATGCTTCGCTGCTCTCCTTCACACACACACACACACCCTTCATGTGCACGCGCACTAACCCCCCAGACCCACCCTCAAATACTTCTTGCCAGTGATTGGCTGGAACACTGTTTGTTAGGTTTCGTGGTCCGGGTGAGACATGATTGTTTTTGTTGCCGTTTGTGGAGCCTGTGGTGTCTACAGAGACCGCGTTTTTTTATAGTGTGTTTAGGGGACAGGCAGCTAGCCGATAGTGAGGAGACGTTTGATGTATGTGACAAAAAATGTTTTGGCCCAGCATCACTTATAGAACCTTTAAGTTATGCAGTAGACCTCAACACCAACTAAACATGGATAAATTAAACAAAGATGTCTACATCTGTTCTAAGTTAAGTCATCAACGTATTAAAATCTCCAACGTAATGTTAGACTAACGTTAGCCTAACATTAGAAAATGTTCACGTTAGCTTATAGCTGCATTGTACATCATGTCACTTAGCTTTATTGAACCTATCTGTAAAGAACCGAGATAACTAATGTTATCAATGTTGTGCTGAATGATTCATGTAAATACTGTAGCACCAAACGGTGATGGCAACGATATGCGGTTTATCACGTTTACACTGTGACCTGTACATTTTTGCCTGGAGCTGAAGCTTTTCATCGACCTTCTCAACAATAAAATTATTAAAGGGTTAGTTCACCCAAAAATGAAAATTCTGTCAGTATTTACTCACCCTCATGTTGTTCCAACCCCGTAAGACCTTTGGTCAATCTTCGAAACACAAATTAAGATATTTAAGATATTAAGATCACTCCTGCATACTAGTCCATAGGCTTCTTGAGGGAATGACTCTTGCTGTCCTCAAAGTCATTAAAGACATCGTTAAAATAGTCCAAGTGACTACAGTGGCTCAATCTTAAGTTTATCAAACGTCGAGAACACTTTTGTGCGCAAAAAAAACATCAAAAATAACGACTTTATTTCAACTATTCGTTTATTTCTCCATCTGCGCGAGTCAGGTTACTAGTTTAATAGCGTAAGCTTCTGTTATTGTACGTCACACGCATCACACACATGACCAGTGTCGGTTAATAGTGAGCCTACGTGTGACGTAGCTTTACGCAATCACACTACGTTAACTGACTACAGGCCCATGGAGAAGGAAGTGAATAGTTGAAATAAAGTTGTTATTTTAGTTTGTTTTTGCGCACAAAAACTATTCTCGTTGTTTGATCAAGTTAAAATTGAGCCAATGTAGTCACTGGGACTATTTTAACGATGTCTTTAATGACTTTTCGATGCCAGCAAGAGTCATTCCCTCAAGAAGCCTATGGACTAGTGTGCAGGAGCGATCTTAATATCTTAAATATCTTAATTTGTGTTCCGAAGATGAACGGGGTTCTTACGGGGTTGGAACAACATGAGCGTGAGTAAATACTGACAGAATTTTTGGGTGAACTAACCCTTTAATATAACCCCCAATGCATAGTTAAGGCCCTTTAGGTGACTTTGAGATGTCATCCAAAAATCACCAATTGCCTCCTGTGAAATGTCTCCTACTGTGACGGCTGCCATGTTGACTGTTTGTCCGAGTGAGTGGAGGGGGCGTGGCTTAGCCACAGGTCAATTGCAATATGGCGTGAACGCACCTATACAAAAGGAAGTTACAAGCTAGCAAGACACACCTGGGAAAACTGCAACGGACAACAAACATGGCATTCGGGCCAGGAAGTAACCAAAAAGTTCTAAACAAGATAATGGGAACAAATTTCAAATTGCATTCATGCTTCATTTTCAAACTTAGCGGCACATCAAGTTCGTTTTTGGATGAGCGATTCTATCAACGATCCTGGTTCTTATGGAACATAGATCATATAGATGCCCTTCATCATCAAAAGAACTTCTGGATCTTACAGTTGGCACACCATGGTTTGGCTCATAACAATCTGACCCAAATATGTCAGTGCAATTTGAATAATGCCGAGAATTCGTCTGCCTTTAATCACCGTTGATGTGATTTTGAAAGCTGTACCGCTCAATTTCAATCTCTCTAGAAGAGTCTAAAATAGTCCTAAAATAGTAGAGAGGATGAACTGACTGAATAGGCTCTGTCTGTTTAATCATGTTGAGAACACACTGCCTGTTCAGGCTCACATGTCATACTCAGAAATCTCTCTCTTTTTCTTTTTTTTTTTTTTGGAACAAATCATGTTCACTGCGTGGTAAATGTTTTTATTGTTATGTCTACAGGGCAGAGCCTATTCTACAAAGGATCAAAGAAGACAGAACCAGAATTATATCCCCGTCTTTTGACAATATCAAATATGACACATTTGAGATTGAAGAGTACCCACTCTCAGCTCAGGGCTATGACTGGGAACTGTGGTGCCGATATCTGAACCCACCAAAATCCTGGTGGAACTTGAACAACAGCACAGCTCCAATCAGGTATTTTGGTCAATATATTTTGGAATGCACATCCATCCATCCATTTTTGTATGTATGTATGTATGTATGTATGCATATGGATGTATGTGTGTATTTATTTATTTGGCAATGCACATGCATTTATTTATTTAATTAATTTTCTGATTTGGCTGATATACAGTAAATATATGTTGATGAATGTATGTAATTATGTAATATAAATCTTTAGGAGTCCTGCCCTGATTGGCTGCTTTGTGGTGGACAGGCAGTACTTCGCAGAGATCGGTCTGCTGGATGAAGGCATGGAGATTTACGGAGGAGAGAATGTGGAGCTGGGCGTGAGGGTGAGAAACTATATCAATCTGTACAGGCTAGGGGTAATGAAGATAATGGATGCACTCTTGAAGGATTAATGACTCTAATGGCCCTCCTTTCTTGGCAGGAAAGTTCAAGTTGGCACCATTTACGGCATCCCTTGTGAAAACGCATTTTTTGATCGGGTTGTAATTGTTATGCATAAAATGCTTAAAACAGTTTCTGATGAAGAATAGCAAGGCAAGACACTCTGTGAATTTAGGGCTGCTGCTTACAATTTTTTCTGTTGATTAATCTATTGATTTTTTTTATTTTTTATTTATTTAATGATTTTTTTATTAGTCTATTAATAATTACATTCCCTTTATTTCCCTCTAACTTTGGAGCCTGCCAAAAGAGCATTACAATAGTCCAGTCTGGATAGAACAAGCCATAATGTAGCGGGTGCACACACTTTGATTCTCTCATCAACACAGATTTTCATAAATTATAACAAAGAAAAATATGAACACATGAGGGAAATCATTGTGGTTTCCACGAAGATGAAAAAACCCAATTACCCAATTTTTTTTTCGTCACTTCTCTGTCTTTCACTGCCCTGACAAGAACGTCGGTCTCCTCGGCTGTGAACGCTCCTGGTAAATCCGCCATTATAATTACAATCCGCCATGCAACATGCGCACCTGCTCTAAAGGGTATGTTGGATGACGCTCTGATTGGTTTGTTTCCCGTTACGCCCAAACCACACCTATGAATAATGAAGCTATTTCAGACCAACCCCTTTTAAACTTGCGTCGGGCGCAAGAGTCATTTATCCCGCCGTCAAAATAGCAACAGCGTCCCTAGTGTACATGTTTATTAATATATTTTTTTTTCCTATACCAGTGAATTGTTAGATTTACCTTTGTAAAGATGTTCAGACCTTTTTTCAGGTTTTTTTATTATTTTTTTTACTTAACAAATTCAATTTTGAAAAATCACAAAACAGTGTCTCAGAAAATCACAAAAGCAGACTACTGTACCACTTTCACTGAAGTTATGGTGTTTTTTGAGGTGCTAGATTTGAGCAGTGTTAGATTTGCACTGCACATTTGCTTCACATATTTCTTTTTTTGTGCCACAATCCCATAGAGGCCAGTGTTATACAGATTTCCTGGTATGGTCCACTGCTACACCTTTACTCTGTTTTCAGATACTGAACTCTCAAAGCGAACATTGTCCTTTATGTGGTCTCCTGCTGTTCATGCAAGGAGTTTCGTAGGGCAACCTTTTCTAGGCAATGTCTGGGTGGTTTGATTCAGCCTTCATTTCTTTATAATTGAACTAGCATTGCCTGCTGGGACATTACAAACACTTCGCTAGTGTTTTCATTACTTATGTATTTGTTTTACTTAATGTCTAACTTCACAGAATAACTCTTTAGTATTCATTTCAGAGATGCCCTTCAAACTTACAACCTGAATAATGACTCATTATAAACTGTAAGCCCCAATGTCCTTTGGGATTTCGGTTAGAAAATGTGCGGTTTTTAATTGATTCACTAGAGAGTGTTTGAGAGTTTAGTTTTAATCTGCAGGACATGTGGGGCTGAATACATATTTCAGTTCATTTTCATATTGATAAGATATTGTGTGGCATAAAAAAAGTATCTCCCCAAATTTAAGCTGCTGTGCTAGGAATGAAAATACCAATGTTGGATTTGTAATTTAGTACAATTGATTAAGAGTCTGTAAATCTCTCAAAGTTCTATTTATTTGATCAAATATACACACTGTAAAAAATATTTTCAAGATTTGTTATCACAACATATTTTCTTTTGTCAAATCAACTTTATAATAATTTATTTAGTTGAGTTAACTTATTATTTTGAGTTTCTGATGGTTAAATTAATCTACTTCATTGTATTAACTCACTATTTCCAGTTCAATCAACTTAATATTTTAAGGCAACCCGGGTTACTTACTTTTTTAAGTTAAACCAACAACATTTTTTTACAGTGTAGTAATCACAACATTTTTTTCTTTTGTCAAATCAACTTAAATAATTTATTTAGTTCAGATAACATATAATTTTGAGTTTCTGATGGTTAAATTAATCTACTTCATTGTATTAACTCACTTTTTCCAGTTCAATCAACTTAAAATTTTAAGGCAACCAGGTTACTTACTTTTTTAAGTTAAACCAACAATATTTTTTTACAGTGCAGTAAAAACTGTAATATTGTAAAATATACTTACAATTTAAAATCATCATTACTCCAGTCTTCATCCTCTGGAAATCATTTTAAAATGTTGATTTGGTGCTCTATTATTATCAATTATTATTAGTGCTCAATTTAATAAACAGCATTTATTAAAAATAAAAAATATTTTTGTAACATTGTAAATGTCTTTACTGTCATGCACCTTTGATCAATTTAGTTGCTGAATTAAAAATAAATTAATGAAACTTACCGCAAACTTCTAAATGGTACCGTATTGCAATTTTCTACAAAAAAATATGAAGCAGCACAACTGTTTTCAACATTGATAAAAATAAGAAATGTTTCTTGAGCAGAAAATCTGCATGAAGGATCATTATGTAATGATGCTGAAAATTCAGCTTTGAAGCGCTTGAATAAATGACATTTTAAAACATGTTCAAACAGGTAACAGCTCTAATAAAATGTAAAAATATTTCACAATTTTGCTTTATTTAACTGTATTTCATTTTCGCTTTGGTAAACATAAGACTTCTTTCAAAAGCATTAAAGAATATGAAATACTCCAAACTTTTGACCAGTAGTACTGCAGTTATTTGCCTGTTTATTCGCATCCATCCCAGCACAGGCTTAATAAATGTGCCGTACCTGAGAAGAGAGCCATTATAATCCCTGAAGGAAGACAATAATAACCTACAAGCATACTGTGTCCCCAAAAAGTATTTGGACACTTATGCCACACTTAAAAATGTATTACTGACATTGGGTATTGCTGACGACAGAATAAAAATACATACGTCCTGTGTATAATATATCAAATTCAGAGACTTGAGGGCAAACTTGCTGTCCCCACCTGTCCTCTATCTGTTAGTCAGCACAGCCTTAAAATGGTTTGACTTTCGAAGCTATGACCACTCTCTCCAAGCACAGTGAAATATAATCATCAATCACGCTGAAGGAGAGAGGAGAATAGGGTGGCATTTCCCTCCCTGGTAATTTTCCCTCAGTGAATGGCATGCTTTTAAGATTTTTATGCTTGATAATGGGCTACTGATTGCTCTTCTCTGAAAGCATGCACAATTTTCTCAGAGACGTACTTTTTCACTGTCCCTCGCTGGTTTGTGGATAAATGGAAAGTGAATCATCTGATTGCACCAGAAGGCACGCAGAGACACAGTGGGCTAGATTTGTTCATGTCTGTTTATTCCAGATTATGGTAAAAACTATGAAAAGATTGGCTGCTGAGGTGTTTCAGTCAGATTAGAGGCGCTACTACCCCTTACCTCACTTTACCCATAATTCCCAGTAGGTTTCATCTGTCTGCAGTGTATTACAGCGGCAATGAGATGCCGAGTTATGTGTCTGCAGATTAAAGTCTCTCTCAAAATAGAAGACACTTTTCAAATCTATGCATATCAAAAAGTACTGTTTCAAATAAACATGTTTGCCGTTCTATATAAAGGTAGATGTGCTATATGTCCTCAATCAGCGTTTAATTCTAAATTGGTGAAAAGCAAATGAATCACATGTCTGGAACCTTCTGAGGTGATAAATGGAGATTAGAGCGCTGTGTGATAAAGCTCATTTACGCAATATGCAGATGCAGTCTTCTCATACAAAATCACTGGAAAAAATAAAGGACATTATGTGGAACATGTAAGCGAATTATAGTGTACCAGAGATAAAATAAATAGGCCATGCAGAGATTTGATGGTTCGCTATAAAAAACATTCAAAATGACTGTTGTGGCCCACAAGCATTAACTGGGTGGTCTAGAAATGACATGTTTTAGGTCAATTTTCCATCGCAAAATCCCGAGAATACTTGATATCTGATCTCATGACCTGAACACATTGAGGTTTATCTTTTTATAAAACCTTTAGTTTAAAAAAAAGTTTAGTAGGTAACATAAAAGACACTCCTTTAAAACAAGTCTTTAAATGTTATTAACTTGGTGAATTGATTTCATTGTGTAGCTTTTTGAACAAGATTCTATGTATGTGATCAGTTTGGTCACTATATTCATGAAATGAAAATAATTTTCATAATGATCAACTAAAATCAACTTTAATTAGAAGCTCGAAGGTGGTCTCGCCCTGGGTGTAATTCAAAGTAGAACCGCCACTGGTTTTGTGGTATTTGATCTTCCATGTTATGCAACAGTTAGTCCCGGTGCCCCAGTTTGATTGGCTGATATTTATAAAACATGACTTTTTCATTGATTGTGTCCCTCACTTGCCCTTGTTCACAACGTTTTAGACCAGAGTAGCGGTGTAAAATAGAAGTAACGTTCACATTTATTCTTCCTTTAGTTCTACTCTAGTCTATCTGCTACTCTGCTCATAAGTTACTGTTTAACTCTATCAATTCATTCATAATGAACATTTCTGCACTTTGCTACGTAAACTCATAGCATGTGTAGCCAAGTCAATAGGGGGCGCTGCTAAGGGTGTAATCAGAGAATGTCTAATTGAAGAGAATTGGCACTGGCTGGTTACTTCCGGGTTCTGGATTGGCTGCAGTAACACGTCTCTGTCCATGCGGGGGCGCTTGCGGTCGAGTGCAGAATGAATGGGAGTCAATGGGGTTTCACCCCCAGAAATCCACTTTTCTCAGGATGTAATTTTTTGTCAAGTAATTTTAAAGTTGCATTCAAAAAGGAGGGCAAAGATAATACACTCAGCTGAAAATTGCATTTTTTAAGTTGAAAAAATCCGTTAAAAAATGTGATGACGTCACACAATAGGAGAATGCTAGCGTGTTCCGGCCAACAACGGCCTAACCTGTAAGAAATCAAAAGGACATAAGTACTCGTTTATTCGACTTTTG